GAGGAATAACTTCTAGTGTTCCACACCACCGCAGAATGGCTACAGGTGACAATGACATCCAGTTAAAGCTCGTGAGATGAGGGGGCTACTGGACGCTGCCAACACAGAGAAGTGATGAGGTGAAGGGGGTGCTAATCAGCTTGCTGTGATCATTATATATTAGATGTCTTGAAACGTCAATGTGTACCTCATAAATACGTACTATTATACATCAATTAAAAATAAAATAAAAAGACAAATATGTAAGAACAAAGATGCTTCATAATTCACTGAAGTTCCCTGTAGTAGAAACTCAGAAATTAGTCCTCTGTTGGATTTGGTATAATCATTATGAAAATATGATCTAAGCCTAAGAAAAAAATTGTTGAAATAGGAGACAGAAATTGTCAAGGAAAACATCTGGGTCACAACGGAGGTAAGTGAGATTTACAACGGTTCTTGGTAATGTGAAGTGATTATTCCTTTAGGAAATGGAATCATTTTCTTAAGTCACTCATAATAAATTCATTTACTTACACAATTGTATAGAATATAAGAACATGTTGGAGAGTTGGGCATTTCTGAGGCCTGACTTTATGTGTGAGTCCAGTGGTTTCTGACTGACCTGTTGGGGGCAGAAACAAAAAACAGATGTTTAAAACCATAACACACTTCCTTCATCCAGCACACCCCTTCACAGGTAAGTGGTACTTGAGAGAGGCAATTATTCCCAGGTAAAAGAAAATAGAGATAAAGAAAAGAGAGAATATTCACTGAAGCCTTCTGGTTGTCCTTTTAACCAAAAGCTATAATTTCTTTCTTCTTTTTTTTGAGACAGGGTCTTACTATGTTGCTCTGGGTAGAGTGCCGTGGTGTCACAGCTCATAGCAACTTCAAACTCTTGGGCTTAAGTGATTCTCTTGTCTTAGCCTCCCAAGTGGCTGTGACTACAGGCACCTACCACAATGCCTGCCTTTTTTTTTTGTCGTTGTTTAGCTGGCCTAGGGTGGTTTCGAACCTGCCAGCCTCAGTGCATGTGGCAGGTGCTGTAAGCACTGCGCTATGGGCACCTAGCCCAAAAGCTACAATTTCTTCCAACATGTTTCATTTAACACATATTATCCAGAGCCTTCCCTCTGTCAAGCATTGTGCTGGAGTCAACGGTGAACAATGTAGCAAATATCTTTGCTTCCTTATCAGTATAACCAGTATGTACAGATTAGACTAGCTAGTAAGTAAGAAATGAAGAATTTGAGTTTTACTAGCCATTTCTGAAACATCATCTCATGCATTCAGAATACTAAAGTGACCTTTATGAAGGCTGTATACTTTGGTATTCCCCATAGCAAAGCACAGAACCGGGTACTGTTTGTGAATGAGAAAGTGATTTAACATGCAAAGGCCTGGAACAAGGAGGGAGGGGAGAGAAGATGAAAAGCAGTTACAAAGTGCAACACGCAGGGGGACCCTTTAAAAGTTACAGACATCTCCACCAGCCCCATCCAAAACCCCCTTGCTTACCATATGCTGGGAGACTCTTGGCTTTTCCTTCAGGCCCTCTGTTCACAAGGGGGTCTGCCCGAGTTGGTTTCGCTTCTCCCTTGGAGACATTCAGGACTGTCTGGGATTCTGTCACGTGGAAATCTACCAAGCCAAAAGGGAGCTGGGTAAGTTTTTTCTTCAATGTATTTAAAAGGATAAGACCAACCATGAAGCAAATCAATCCTTTAACATGCACGGTGGTGAAGGACATAAATGGGCCTTCTCACGGGCTGGTGGTGGAGGGTGGGGATTGAAACTGAAAGCTTAAGTGAGGAAGTAGTGACAATGATGTAAGGACAGTCTGCAGCCTCCCAGCTGTCTCAGGAGGATGATTCAGCTACAACAGTTCATAACGAGTCTGAAATAAGCAGTGAGAAAGTATTATATGTTTATCTTCCTCAACCACCCCAATAGCACGTCTATTTCAGAGAGCTCTGTGCAATGGGTATAAAGGGACATGAATTTTTAGCCACACAGGCAATCTCTCTCCTTATAACTTCTAAGGTATCTTTTCCCTAGACTCCTCTCCCAATTGTTTACTAGGAAGGCCAGGTGAGTTTTTTTTTTTGGTGGTGGTGGTTATTGTTACGGGGGTAAGGGGAGATGTTTGGTGGGGAATTAAATTTCAGTCAAAATACAACAATTTCCCAGACCTCGAGAGTTCTCAGATTCAGGAGTTTGAGAACCAGAACTGCTGTATCCCGCCAAGTCTTGCCTCCTTTGTTGAACCACTCCATCCAGATCTGAGAATTCATCATTGAAATCCTGAAAGGAAATAATAAAATGAGGAGACCCAATTTTCCCTTATGGAACGGGTAGGACGTGGCACCTCCCAGCCCTTTCACCACCTAGGTCTGACTTAGACTACACAGAACAGAAGAAAGGATTAGCCCACAGAAATGGGATTGTCCTAACACATCACTGACTATCTGGTCACTGCAACTGAGATTTTTTGG